CTTTGGGCTTCACATTTGCAAGGTGGTGGGAGGCTCTTGAACTGCGCAAGCGGAGCTATGTATGTAGGATCTCGGCCTCTGAATGTCATAGATTTCTCATGAAGAAAGGGACTGACATCTCCATTGATACGCCCAACATGAAGTGCTTGGGAGGCAATGCCTAGCAGCAGGCAGCAGGACACCAATGGCAATTCAGAAAGTCACGGGTTGGGTGAAGTAATGGAATAGCCCTTGCCAATATCGCATGCTCTGAGTCTGTTGCTCCTATTCTGAACTTTTGACCAATCGCTTTGATCTCTTGCTTTGCATCATGGACGTCTTTGTTATAACCGGCCGCTTTTGTTCTGTTTGATTCATTCATTCGACTCGTGTCCCTTGAGTCGGCTTGATTGCTCCTTCCGGGTCACCTTTCCTGCCTGATTCATCTTGCATTTTACAAATACCAGATTCTTCCTTCAGTTGCCGGCAAGCCAGTCTCTCCCCCTCTCTTTCAGACTTCTCTTCATCACACCCCGGTTCTTTGTATCTTCCTGGCATTGAGTCATCATTCCTCGTAGGGCTAGAAACAGATCCAAGGATCCCACAGGTTTTTGTATGTTTCCATCAAGGAGAGAGGAACAATGATGCTTATTTCTTCCTTTCCGCATGCTTAAATCGAGGTAGTAAAGGTAAAGGTTTAAGTCCAGTCATGTCCCACTCTAGGGGTTGGTGCTCATCTCCATTTCTGGTTGCTTCTGGATTACCACCTCACCTGCCTCATAGGAAACCTGCTACAAAACAGGAGCTTTTTTGTTGAGTTCCAGGGCAGAGAAGCAGATGGCGGAAACAGAAGAACGGCCTGCCTCAGGGGAGCGTGCTTGCTCCATCCATGTTCAACATCTACACAAATGACCAGCCACTGCCAGAAGGGACAGAGAGCTTCATCTATGCTGATGATCATGCCATTACTGCTCAAGCAGGGAGCTTTGAGATGGTTGAACAGAAGCTCTCCGAAGCTCTAGGTGCCTTACTGCCTACTACAGGGAAAGCCAGCTGATCCCTAATCCATCTAAAACACAGACATGTGCTTTCATCTTAAGAACAGACAAGCATCCTGAGCTCTGAGGATGACCTGGGAAGGAATCCCACTGGAGCATTGCAGCGCACCCAAATACCTGGGAGTCACTCCGGACCGTGCTCTGACCTACAAGAAGCACTGCCTGAACATCAAGCAAAAAGTGGGTGCTAGAAACAATATCATACGAAAGCTGACTGGCACAACCTGGGGATCACAACCAGACACAGTGAAGACATCTGCCCTTGCGCTGTGCTACTCTGCTGCTGAGTATGCATGCCCAGTGTGGAACACATCTCACCACGCTAAAACAGTGGATGTGGCCCTTAATGAGACATGCCGCATTATCACGGGGTGTCTGCGCCCTACACCACTGGAGAAATTACACTGCTTAGCCGGTATTGCACCACCTGACATCCGCCGGGAAGTAGCAGCCAATAGTGAAAGGACCAAGGCAGAGACATCTCCAGATCATCCCTTGTTTGGGTATCAGCCAGCACGTCAATGACTTAAATCAAGAAATAGTTTTCTAAGATCTACAGAGACACTCGCTGGAACACCTCAGCAAGCGAGAGTCCAAAAGTGGCAGGCTCAAACCCAGAGCCTCAGTCAATGGCTGATACCAAATGAGAGACTACCCCCTGGGAACACAGAAACTGGGCAACTTGGAATGCACTGAACAGACTGCACTCTGGCACCACGAGATGCAGAGCCAACCTCAAGAAATGGGGCTACAAAGTGGAATCCACGACATGTGAGTGTGTAGAAGAGCAAACCACTGACCACCTGCTGCAATGCAACCTGAGCCCTGCCATATGCACCAGGGAGGACCTCTTTGCGGCAATACCAGAAGCACTCCAAGTGGCCAGATATTGGCGAAAGGACATTTAATCAACTACCAAGCTGGCAAACTCTGTGTCTTTTGTATGTTTGTTTGTTTATTCTGTCAAAAATGTAATACAACTGTTCGGTTGCCTGACACGATAAATAAATAAATCTCCATTTCTAAGCTGAAGAGCTGGCGTTGTCCGTAGACACCTCCAAGTTCTGGGGCCAGCATGACGGCATGAAGCGCCGTTATCTTCCTGCCGGATGATGATCCAACCCCGGACTTTTTGGGATCAATATCACCAGAACTGTAATAATAATAATAATAATCATCATCATCATCATCATCATCTATCATCATCAAATTATACCCTGCCACCATCTCCCCAATGGGAACTTGGGGCAGTTTACATGAGGCCAAGCCCAAACAACAAATTACAGTCACTACCTCACTACCTCTGAGGATGCTTGCCATATATGCAGGCGAAACGTCAGGAGAAATGCCTCTAAAACATGGCCCTATAGCCCGAAAAAACCTACAAGAACCGAATTAACTCAGTTTGGCACATTCATACTGGCTTGGTTTGTAATAACTTTTCAATAACTTTAAAGCATAGGATTAAAAAGGTAAAGGTTTTCCCCTGACATTAAGTCCAGTTGTGTCTGACTCTGGGGGTTGCTGCTCATCTCCATTTCTAAGCCAAAGAGTTGGCGTTGTCTGTAGACACCTCCAAGGTCATGTGGCTGGCATGACTGCATGCAGCATCGTTACCTTCCCGCCGGAGTGGTACCTATTGATCTACTCACATTTGTTTGCTTTTAAACTGCTAGGTTGGCAGAAGCTGGGGCTGACAGTGGAAGCTCACGCCGCTCCTCGGATTTGGACCTGTGACCTTTCGGTCAACAAGCTTAGCAGCTCAGTGGTTTAACCCACTGCACTACTGGGGGCATAGGTTCTTTTCATTGCCATTTCCAGTGTGAGAGGGTCTCCCAAAATTTTTATTATTATTATTATTATTATTATTATTATTATTATGGAATTGTAGTTGCTGGGATTTATAGTTCACCTACAATCAAAGAGCATTCTGAACTCCACCAATGATGGAATTGAACCAAACTTGGCACACAGGATTCCCATGGGAGGGTTTGGTGGGCACTGACTTTGAGTTGGGGAGTTGTAGTTCACCTACATCCAGAGAGCACTGTGGACTCAAACAATGATGGATCTGGACCAAACTTTGCACAAATATTTCATATGCCCAAATATGAATGCAGATGGAGTTTGGGGGAAATAGACCCTAACATTTGGGAGTTGTAGTTACTGGGATTTATAGTTCACTTACAATCAAAGAGCATTCTGAATTCCACCAATGATGGAATTGAACCAAACTTAGCACACAGAACTCCCATGTTCTGTGGGAGTTCTTTCTCAAAGCCCAACTTTCTTTCTCAAAGCCCAACTTTCCAGCAAAATTGCACAGATGGAGAACCGAGGGAGATGTCCCTCCTGCTAGGCTCCAAATGTCAATTTGAAATGAAGCTACGTATACTGTGCTATCCTATACAGCACCTATTGCAAAGGAAGGCCCACTGAGTTCATTGGGGCTCCCTCCCAGGCATCTGGGCGTAGGACTGGAGGGGAAATCGAGCACTCTGGTAGGAAGCGGAGAATGCAAAATTCCCCTTTTTTGGAAAAGAAAGGATCGAGTATATCTATATTTTCGGGAACAATCATTCCATTCCAGGAGAGGTACGTATATCCCCAAAAGTAGTGCTGGATGCTGGATGGAGGATTTGGGGAAGGTGTTGTCATTGTATAAAGCATTGCTTGCTGGGGGATACTGGAAGATGTCTTTTCCCCCAACAACACTGACTGGGGGATACTGGGTGACATCCTTCTGCAAAACAATGGTGACTCTGGGATACTGGGAAATGTCACCCCCCCCCCCCCAAAAAAAAACAAACAAAAAACCCAATGTTGACTGGGGGATACTAGGAAATGTCATTCCTCAAAACAATGCTGACTGTGGGATACTGGGAGATGTCCTTTCCCAAAACAATACTGACTTTTGGATACTGGTAGATGTCATTCCCCAAAACAATGCTGACTGGGGGATACTGGGAGATGTCATTCCCCAAAACAGCCCTGACTGGGGGATACTGGGAGATCTCCTTTCCCCCAAATTCCCTTGGAATTTTTGGTGCCCAGAGATATCCTTTGTCTACTGGGGATACTGGGAGGTGTCCTTCCCATAAAACAATACTGACTGGGGGATACTGGGATATGTCATTCCCCAAAACAATGCTGACTGGGGGATACTGGGAGATGTCATTCCACAAAACAATGCTGATTAGGAGATACTGGGAGATGTCATTCCCCCAAAACACTGCTGACTGGGGGATACTGGAAGGTGTCATTTCCCCAGAACAGTACTGACTGGGGGATTCTGGGAGATGTCCTTTCCACATAACAATGCTGACTGGGGGATACTGGGAGATGCCCTTCCTCAAAACACTGCTGACTGAGGGATACTGGGAGATGTCATTCCCCAAAACAACCCTGACTGGGAGATACTGGGAGATCTCCTTCCCCAAAACAACACTGACTAGGAGATACTGGGAGATGTCCTTCCCCTAAAACAATGCTGACTGGGAGATACTGGGAGATGTCCTTGCCCAGAGACATTCTTTGTCTAGTGGGGATACTGGGAGGTGTCCTTCCCATAAAGCAGTGCTGACTGGGGGATACTGGGAGATATCATTCCCCAAAACACTACTGACTGGGAGATACTGGGAGATGTCCTTGCCCAGAGACATTCTTTGTCTACTGGGGATACTGGGAGGTGTCCTTCCCATAAAGCAGTGCTGACTGGGGGATACTGGGAGATGTCATTCCCCAAAACACTACTGACTGGGAGATACTGGGAGATGTCCTTGCCCAGAGACATCCTTTGTCTACTGGGGATACTGGGAGGTGTCCTTCCCTTAAAACAGTGCTGACTGGGGGATACTGGGGGGTGTCATTTCCCAGCAGCTGCTTCCCAGATTCCCTCTTGGGCCCCTTCCTCCCTCCCTGCCCCTCCCTTGCTCTCCTCCTCCTCTTCCATTCTTCCCGACTTTGGTCGGGGCCAGCTCTTCCTCCTCCTCGGGGCCAGAAGAGCCTTGGCGTCGGTCCTGCGAGCGGCGAGGGCTCGGTGGGCTCCTTTGGGGGGCCATGCGGGCTCCGAGGGGCGAGGGCCAGGCTTTGAGGTGGGTCCTGGGCGCCGTGGGGCTCCTCGCCGCCCTCAGCGCCGCCGGCACCCTCTTCTTGCTCTGCCAGTGGAGAGAGATGCAAGGGGCGCTGCGGGCGCTGCAGGAGGAGAAGCAGGAGATGCAGCTCCTCAGGTCTCCTCCGAGGAGCGAGGAAGAGCAAGGAGGCCTCCAGCGCCCCTCCGCCGGACCCTGGGGAGAGCACCAGGATGAGGACCCCTCCCTCGGCAGGAACAAGAGGAGCCACCGCCGAGGGGGTCTTTCCAAGGGCCACATCCGCGCCGAGAGCGACGAGATGCTCATGATGATGACCTACTCCATGGTGCCGGTAGGTCTCAGGGCAATATTTCCAACCAATGAACTAACCAATCAACCAGGCATCTCTTCAACTCTATTCCACTTGATAAGCTGTCCTGTCAACCAACCTGCCCATTGGGTCTCCTTCAGCTTGTTCACATGGGATTTGAGATGCTCCAAGTCCAGGGTCCCCAAGTTTTGGTCCTTCAAGTGATGGGGACTTCGACTCCCAGAAGCTCTAGCCAAGCTGGTCCAATGGCCAGGAATTCTGGAAGCTGAAGTTGCAAACACCTGGAGGGCCAAGGAGAAAAAAGAAACAATCAGTCAACCAACTAGGCATTGATTTGTAGAAAGAGCTTGTGTGTCTTCAAGTCTACCAACCAACTAGGCATTGATTTGTAGAATGAGCTTCTCCTTGTGTGTCTTCAAGTCTACTCCATGTCTATAATCCCCAAGCTTTTATTATTTAGGTTTTTGGGACTCTGACACCCAGAAGGCCAAGTCAGGCTGTCCAATGCTCAGGAATTCTGGGAGCCGAAGTCCCAAAACACATGGAGGGTCAGGGGGAAAAACCAAATAATCAACCAACCAACTAGCCATTGATTTGTAGAATGAGCTTGTGTGTCTTCAAGTCTACCAACCAACTAGGCATTGATTTGGAGAATGAGCTTCTCCTTGTGTGTCTTCAAGTCTACCAACCAACTAGGCATTGATTTGTAGAATGAGCTTCTGCTTCTGTGTCTTCAAGTCTACTCCATGTCTATGATCCCCAAGCTTTTATCTTCTAGGTTTTTGGGACTCTGACACCCAGAAGCCCAAGTCAGGCTGTCCAATGCTCAGGAATTCTGGGAGCCGAAGTCCCAAAACACATGGAGGGTCAAGGGGAGAAACCAAATAATCAACCAACCAACTAGGCATTGATTTGTAGAATGAGCTTCTCCTCGTGTGTCTTCAAGTCTACTTCACTTGATGTCATGTCCTTTCCATTAGGTCTTCTTCAGCTTGCTTGCATGAGATTTGTGATGCTCCAAGTAAACGGTCCCCAAGCTTTGCTTCTCCAGCTCTCAGAATTCCTAACTAAGCTTGCCCAATGGTCAAGAATTCTGGAAGCCAAAGTTCCAAAAACCTGGAAGGTCAAGGGGAAAAACAACCAACCAAACAACCAACTAGCCATTGATTCGTAGAATGAGCTTGTGTGTCTTCAAGTCTACCAACCAATTAGGCATTGATTTGTAGAATGAGCTTCTCCTTGTGTGTCTTCAAGTCTATTCCATGTCTATGATCCCCAAGTTTTATCTTCTAGGTTTTTGGGACTCTGACACTCAGAAGCCCAAGTCATGTTGTCCAATGCTCAGGAATTCTGGGAGCTGAAATCCACAAACACATGGAGGGTCTAGAGGAAAAACCAAATAATCAACCAACCAACTAGGCATTGATTTGTAGAATGAGCTTCTCCTTGTGTGTCTTCAAGTCTGCTTCACTTTATGTCATGTCCTTCCCGTTAGGTCTTCTTCAGCTTGTTTGCATGAGATTTGGGATGCTCCAAGTCCAGGGTCCCCAAGTTTTGGTTCTCCAGCTCTCAGAAGCCCTATCTAAGCTTGCCCAATGGTCAAGAATTCTGGAAGCCGAAGTTCCAAAAACCTGGAAGGTCAAGGGGAAAAACAACCAACCAAACAACTAGCCATTATTTTGTAGAATGAGCTTGTGTGTTTTCAAGTCTACCAACCAATTAGGCATTGATTTGGAGAATGAGCTTCTCCTTGTGTGTCTTCATGTCTACTCCACTTGATATTCTGTCCTTCCCATTGGGTCTTTTTCAGCTTGTTTGCATGAGATTTGGGATGATCCAAGTCCAGGGTCCCCAAGTTTTGGTCCTTCAAGTGATTGGGACTCTGAATCCCAGAAGCCCTACCCAAGCTTGTCCAATGTAGCTGATTTAAACACACGAGGAAAAGCCCACCCTAGAAGTCCCAAACACTGGAGGATCAAGGGGAAAAGCCAACCAGCTAACAAACCAACCAGGCATCAACTTGCGTGTCTTCAAGTCTACTCTACCTTGTATGATGGGTTTTCTTCATCTTGTTTGCATGAGATTTGGGATGGTCCTAGTCCAGGGTCTTCAAATTTTGGTCCAAGTGTTGAGGACTCTGACTCCCAGAAGCTCTAGCCAAGCTTGTCCAAGGGTCAGGAATTATGGGAGCTGAAGTCCCAAATACCTGGAGGGTCAACCAATGTCCTTCCTAATGAATCTTCTTCAGCATGTTCGCATGAGATATGTGATGCTTCAGGTCCAGGGTCCACAAGCTTTTGTCTTTCACATGTTGGGGTGTCCGACTCCCAGAAGCCCTAGCCAAGCTTGTCCAAGGGTCAGGAATTATGGGAGCTGAAGTCTCAAATACCTGGAGGGTCAAGGGGGAAAACCAACTAATCAACCAATGTCCTTCTCAATGGATCACCTTCAACTTGTTTGCATGAGATTTGTGATGCTCCAGGTCCAGAGTCCCCAAGCTTTTGCCCTTTAAGTGTTGGGGACTCTGACTCCTAGAAGCCTTAGCCAAGCCTTGTCCAAGGGTCAGGAATTCTGGGAGCTGAAGTCCCAAACACCTGGAGGGTCAAGGGGGAAAACCAACCTACCAACCAACCAACCAATGTCCTTCCCAATGGGTCTTCTTCAGCTTGTTTGTCTAAGATTTGCAATGGTCCAAGTCCAGGTGCTGGAGACTTCAGCTCCCACAAACCCCAGCTAAACTTGTCCAATGCTCAGGAATTCTGGGAATGCTCAGGAATTCTGGGAGCTGAAGTTCCAAACACCTGGAGGGTCAAGGAGAAAAATCAGCCAACGAACCAACCAATGTTCTTCCCAATGGGTCTTCTTCAGCATGTTCACATGAGATTTGCGATGCTCCGGGTCCAGGGTCCCCGAGCTATTGTCCTTCAAGTGTTGGGGACTCTGACTCCCAGAAGCCCTAGCTAAGCTAATCCAAGAATCAGGAATTCTAGGAGCTGAAGTCCCAAACACCTAGAGGACCAAGGGGGAAAACCCAACCAACCAACCAATGTATTTTGCAATGGGTCTTCTTCAGCTTGTTCGCTTGAGATTTGCAATGCTCCAGGTAGCAGGGTCCCCAAGCTTTTGTCCTTCTCCTTGTGTGTCTTCAAGTCTACTCAACCTTATATGGTGAGTCCTCTCCAGCTTCTTGGCATGAGATTTAGGATACTCCATGTCTATGATCCCCAAGCTTTTATCTTCTGGGTTTTTGGGACTCTGATACCCAGAAGCCCAAGTTAGGCTATCCAATGCTCAGGTATTCTGGGAGCTGAAGTTCCAAAACACCTGAAGGGCCAAGGGGAAAAACCAAATAATCAACCAACCAACTAGGCATTGATTTGTAGAATGAGCTTCTCCTTGTGTATCTTCAAGTCTATTTCACTTGATATCATGTCCTTCTCATTAGGTCTCCTTCAGCTTGTTTGCATGAGATTTGCAGTGCTCTGTGCATACATGATCCTGAAGCTTTTGTCTTCTAGGTGTTTGGGACACTAATCCCCAGAAGCTTTAGCCAGCCTGTCCAATGGTTAAGCATTCTGGGATCTGAAGTCCCAAACATCTGGAGGGTTAAGGGAAGAAAGCAACCAACCGATGAACAAATCCACCAACCAACCAACCAACCAACCAACCAGGCACTTCTTTATAGAGTGGGCTTCTCCTTCTGTATCATGAAGTCACCCCTTTGTATGATGTCCTTCTTCAGCTTGTTCACATGGGATTTGGGATGCTCCATGTACATGGCTCACAAGCTTTGGTCCTTTAGGTGTTTGGAACTCTGACTCTCAGTAGCTATAGCCAGTTTGTTCAGGAATTCTGGGTGCTGAAATCCCAAATATCTGGAGGGTCAAGGGGAAAATCAACCAACCAACCAACCAACCATTTCTCTTTGTAGGGTGGGCTTTTCCTTGTATGTCTTCAAATCTCCACCACTTTGTATTGTCTTTCTCCTATTGGGTCTTCTTCAGCTTGTTTGCATGAGATTTGGGATGCTCCAGGTCCATGGTTCCCAAGTTTTGGTCCTCCAACTCTCGGAAGCCTTAGCCAAGCTTGCCCAATGGTCAGGAATTCTGGAAGATGACGTTCCAAAAACCCGGAGAGCCAAGGGGAAAAACCAACCAATCAATCAACCAACTAGGCATTGATTTGTAGAATCAGCTTCTCCTTGTCTGTCTTCAAATCCACTTCATTTGATATATTGTCCTTCCTATTGGTTCTTGTTCAGTTTGTTCACGTGAAATTTGCGATGCTCCAGATCCATGAACTCTAAGCTTTCGTCCTCCAAGTCTTTGGGACTCCAACTCCCAGAAGCTTTAGCCATCCTGTCCAATGGTCAGGAATTCTGGGAGCCAAAGTCCAAAACGCCTAGAGAGTCAAGGGAAAAAAAGCAACCAACCAACCAACCAACCAACCAACCAATCAGGCATTGATTTGTACAATTGGCTTATCCTTGTGTGTCTTCAAGTCTACTCTACCTTATATGATGAGTTTTCTTCAGCTTGTTTGCATGGGATTTTGGATGCTCTAGTCCTTGGTCCTCAAGCTTTCATCCTCCTGGTGTTTGGCATTCTGACACTCAGAAGCCCTGGCCAAGCTTGTCCAATGGTCAGGAATTCTGGGAGCTGAAGTCCCAAACACCTGGAGGGTGAAGGGGAAAGAAAGCAGCCAACCAATCAACCAACCAGGACTGAATTGTAGAATGAGTTTCTCCTTATGTGTCTTCAAGTCTACTCTACCTTTTATGGTGGCTTTTCTTCAGCTTTTTTTTTTGTGCATGATATTTAGGATGTTCCAGCTCCATGGTTTCCAGACTTTCATCCTCCAGGTGTTTGGAATTCCAACTCCCAAAAGCTTTAGCCAGCTTGTCCAATGGTTGGGAATTCTGGAAGCTGTAGTGCCAAACACCTGAAGGGTGAAAGGGAAAAAGCAAGCAACCAAACAACTAACTGACCAACCAACCAACCAGGTCTCCATTGTAGAATGAG